AAGAATAATTTCTAAAGTTAGCCTCGTTAAAGAGATTGTATTATCCAGAATTCAGAGCACTCCAGGTGTCTCAAATCCTGCTTCTCTACTCGATTCACTGCTCAAACAGCCTTCTCAGCCATTCCCACCTACACAGCAGGAGTGATCTCACCTATTTCGGAAGCATTCTGAAATCCTGTGCCTGATGTTAACTCTTGTAAGTGCAAGATACTTACTGAAGTTTTCACTAAGTCTTTTCTGTCATCACCTCCTCTTGGCAAACCAATTTTGTCGCTGTCCTAGCATCTTTAGCTATGGCATATCTTTGACTTTAATGTGATATTGTTTTTCCACATCCGTCTTTTTATCTCCTTCACAGGGTACATCCCCAGTTACTTAGACAAGGACGAGCTATGTGTAGTGTGTGGTGACAAGGCCACCGGGTATCACTACCGCTGCATCACATGTGAAGGCTGCAAGGTAATTGCCCTGGTTCCATCCCCTCCCAGGACTTTACCAGAATGCGAGTTTAAGTTCACATTAAAACCAGATTCCAGCATTCATGGCCTATGATCATCCACATGTCTGGTATGCGCTTCGTTTTTGACACGTTCAGAACTAAATTTTTATCCAACTCATAAATAACTCAATGAAGTCTTACAAGGGTGTGACGTCTGGTATCTTTANAAATGAGGAACTATTAAAAATTGGGGAAGAAGTTTTAATTTTTTTTCTTGTTAATTGTTTTATTTACCGTTTATATTTAAAACTTAATTGTCACAAGATGTAAACCCTAAAGCAAAAATTGCATTAAAATTTATGAACACTTCCATCTTCTCTCCTCTCGCCCACTTTATATCCTCTCCTCTTCTTTCTCTCCTCCAACTACCTCCTTTCCTGCTGCCCTTGCCCCTAAACTCCAAAAATCAACGTTAGCTCTGTTTTAAACCAAAGTGTGCCCTATTTGCCTAATGGAAGATTTTTCCATGCAAATTTCCTACTTTTGTGCATGAGATTAAGAAACATTTAGAAGAAGCCTTCTGAACATGGTAAGATGATACACCCATTGGAAAGAGTTTATTTCTAAGGTCCCAAGGCCTCATATCTGCAAGTCTGTTTTTTGGAATATGATGCAACATGTTCTCATTTATCCAGACACCTTTGATCTGAAATTTGTAATCCTTCAAAAAAGACTGGGCTAAAGGTTGCCATTACATCTATGAAAATAATGTCTTCAGGAGTTTAATGAAGCTAATTACAAGTACGTGATGGCTTTTAATTAATTTGGAGACTTGACCATCTCTTGAAAGCACAGTTTTATTGGCTTGATTTAAAAGTAATAAGACTTTAGATACATTCTCTCATTCCAAAAGCTCAGTAATTCAAACTGGCCTTTTTCCTAAATCAGCCCCAATTCATAAAGCCTTACCTACCTGATTATGTAACATGGAGATTCTTTTAAATCAGTTTCTAATGGTAAATTTTGAATTCTGGGAGAGACTCTAATAAAAATTCCATTTAATACTTGACTCCCCAAAGTGGCTAAGGACTGAATGTGCCTTGCAGAGGACTTCATGTATTATTAGTGACTGACTTAAACAAAGAGAGAATCAAGGCTATTAACCCATGTCCCTGCCTCATGTTTGTCTTCATAATAGTCAAGAAATCCACTGGCCTCTTTTCCCAAGATCACAGGATGTTTGGGGTCTGATTCAGCTGAGGTCTTTTTAAAAGAAAAAAATCATGTAGCAAAAAGCTAGATTTCTCAGCCTCTGTGCATAACTTTATGTCACATCAGAATTCTGTTTCTAGGGGCCGGCCCGGTGGCGCACTGCTACAGTGCGCCGCTTGGGAGTGCGGCTGCNAGAGACAGCATTTGTTCTACCACAGGCTGTTTGCCACTATTAATCTGAGTGAATGTCCTCACTTTTAAGGGTTCCATTAGGGAATATCTTTGAGGCTACTTAGATTCAATTATGTTCTGAATTATCCAAATGGGCTCTCTGCACAGCCTGCAGTCAGTAAGCAGTTCCTGGTCATCTGTTAGTTAATCGTATGCTCTGCAGACCTATCTTCGGGAAATACTTGACAAGACTGTACCAGTGATCAACAGACCATTTGCCTCCTGAGAGTGAGCCTAAATTTGCCTACTTAAAATCGTCAGCAACAAAATCAAGATAAGCTTTCTGGAAAATATCTTTTGGTGCAATGACCCAGCCTAGAAAATAAAGTTTAGCATAAAGGCAAATAAAGCTTAACCCAGTGCTGTACCCAGCATTCAGCAAATGTTTTATAAATGAGGAACTATTAAAAATTGGGGAAGAAGTTTTAATTTTTTTTCTTGTTAATTGTTTTATTTACCGTTTATATTTAAAACTTAATTGTCACAAGATGTAAACCCTAAAGCAAAAATTGCATTAAAATTTATGAACACTTCCATCTTCTCTCCTCTCGCCCACTTTATATCCTCTCCTCTTCTTTCTCTCCTCCAACTACCTCCTTTCCTGCTGCCCTTGCCCCTAAACTCCAAAAATCAACGTTAGCTCTGTTTTAAACCAAAGTGTGCCCTATTTGCCTAATGGAATATTTTTCCATGCAAATTTCCTACTTTTGTGCATGAGATTAAGAAACATTTAGAAGAAGCCTTCC